GGGGGACAGAGATGAGCTGGTACCTGTGGCAGTGCTCCCGGTCCCCCCTGCCCTGCTCAGCAGGGGACAACGCGAGCTGGGCTGGGACAGGGTGGGGCAAGGGAGCAGGGCCCGGCAGCGGCAGATAAGAGATGTGGTGCACAGAAGGCCAGGGCCATCACCTGTTCAGTGCAGATGGTAGTCGAAACAACTGTCCCTTCTCTGCAGGGAAACTGCCCCAGGGCATCGTCCTGGGGTGGAACACAAGGGGTCAGGAGGAGGAAGGCAACAGACAGGAAAGCCAGCACCGGGCTAGAGAGCGCCGGCCGCTGAGGCGGAGACGGACAGGGCTGAGCACCCAGGGCTGTGCCTCCTTTCTGGTTCTTCTGCTCCCTGTGACCCTTGACCCCTCTCCCACGATCAAGCTAAGAGATTATCTCTGCCGGGACAAGCTGAATGGGAACCCTGGAGCCCAGTGACTGTGCACTGAGGATGACACAGACCGTGGAGGGTCAGAAATCTGGGGCCAGAACACTGCATCTGGCACCCACTCCCGTGGAGAGCCAGCCATCCTCCCTCCCCGGACACACACACCCCAGCCAGCCACCGTTACCATTGGTCCTGCACTGGCTGGACTGGGAGGCTTGGCTGCCCGTGTCAACATGGCCAAGACTGGACTCTGACCCACCTACTTGCACCTGCCCCCACCCCTCCCAGCCCTACATTAGGGAGGAGGCACTGTTCAAAGCCTGGCACAGCAAGCCTAGCCCCAACCCAAGCTCCCTCCAGAGATACGTCAGAGAGTGGACAGGAGACCCTGTCTGCCCTAGACACTGACCTCCGCCAGCCGGACTCCGGAGGAGGGGACAAGTAGGCAGGACTATAGGGAGAGCTGTCGACGTGAGCAGCACCAGCACCAGTTAAGGAGACTATGGGAGGAGGGCACAGAGGGGACAGAGACCAGATCAGAGAACACTGGAGGAAGTGGATGAATTGTTCCAAGAAGCAAGCACCTCCCTCCTCTTCCACGAGGGGCAACGACAGGGCCAAAGAATGGAAGAGAAAAAGGGAACCAGGCCCAGTAGAGTTGGAAAAATGAGGGAGAATAACTGGACAGGGCATGAGAAACAGGTCTATGAGAGTCTCTGAGACGGAAAGCTACCAACAGAAAGGGGAGGAAAAAGGTGAAGAGGGAACCAAATGCCCTTCAGCGGGAGACGTATGTCTCCCCGTCGAAGGAGCCGGCGCTGACACACGGGCCAAACGGTGGCTTTTCTGGGAGGCTGGTGATGGACGGACTGAACCGCACACAGAGTCCCTTCCTCCCACGAGTTCCCGAGGAACTCCATCCCCCCCACCCCCCGGCTCCCCACAGCCTCCGCGAAGGATATGTGGCGGGGGTAGCGGCGGAGTGGGGACACCATCCTTCGGGGGTCTCGCTGCACCCGTTCCACCAGCCCGTGGTGCCGCGTGCCCCGAGATGAATCCAGAGGCGAGTGGAGGGGGCTCTGCCAAAAGAGACAGGGAGGTCAACCGGGGAAGTCGCAAGTCACCTGGGCCCCCGTAACTGCTCTCCGCTCACCTGGAACTCAGCCAGGCCACAGCCAATCTGGTTCACGTTGGGCAGAGAACCACCATAATGGGAGCTCCTCGTGTAGGCCAGTCGCAGCTTTTGGGCCTGTAACTGAGACAGGGAGGACAAACGAGAACATCAGGGAAGGTTCTGACGACTGTTCCTGTTCCTCTGGCCACTCTTGCCATCTGTCTCCAGGGCACGCCCCTACTGCTGGTGCACTTAGGAGCGCCGCCAGGAAAAGCAGTGGGGGGCAGGCCGGGTGCGAAGCGTCGGCCCCAGCTCTTCCGCAGGCCACCCTCAGCCACCCCACTAATGGCTGGCGTCGCCCTGCCACGCAGGGCCTGACACTCTGCTCGGGGCCAGTCGCAGTTGGCATCAGTCTAAACAGAGTCCCGGAGGGGTTGCCAGGAGCCCCCAAGCTAGTCACATCGGTTAACTCCTGGGAAGGGTGCCTATTAGGCACCTCGCTTTCCCTTCCAGATGTGTCCAGGACTAATTGGAACATGAGGGGAAGGCCACAGGTGGATGCCACAGAGCCATTATCGCCAACCCCTTTCCTTCCCACTCGGGAGGGCACGGGCTTCTGCCACTTGGCCTGCCTCAGGAAAGCTACACAGAGCCTGCACCACCCAAACTAGTACATGGAAATGTACTAGTACCTAGGAAATGATGGCTCTCCCAGCTGGAAAAAACAGAGCTAAAGCCAAGAAGCAGTCTTCTTCTACCTAGTTCTAAAGCCCCTGAATGGACAGGGAAGCCTTGAGAACGGTCCTGAGAGAGGGAGCGATAACCCAGTTCAGCCTGGCCTGATCCCCACTTTGGGGAGAGGTATCTGGCACAGCAGTGAGACACCACAACCCTCAGTCTGGCATGGTGTCAGTCTGTCTACAGATCTTAAGTCCTTCTGTGAGAGGTGAACACCTATTTCTGAGGCTCAACCACTGCAACCTGCCAAAAAATGGACGTAGGGCAGCTGATGAACTTCCAGGGGTCATGCACTGTTGTGCATAGGCCAACATCAGAATTGACTTTCTGTTCCAAGAGATCAGCCCACTGAGTTTAGCAGACACTTATGTAAACGTTTGGGCTGCTCAAGACTATTAGTATATGTGCTAAGCCTAGCCTCTCAGTACCACAGGCCCCTATGGCTGTACCTGCCGCACACGAGCCCTCTCAGCTTAGGTAAGCCCCAGATCTCTTATCTCTAGCTTTAGACTCTTGGGTCCCTGAGCCCCGGCCTTGTATGCCCACTAGATATTTATGTGCCGCAGAGAAGCAACCTGCAGGGGCAAGGTGGGCAGAAGGGGTGTTTGGACAAACCAAGGCGCTAAAAAGGCAGAGGCCTCAGCTCTGAGCTTCTCACAGCCTTTCTGTTTGTACACACAAACCCTGAAACCCCACCGTGCCTCTGCTGGAGTCACGGTCCAGACAGAGGACAGGGCGGCGGGCCGAGCCTCTTGCCCACCTTCTTGCCTCTGCACCCACCATGATCAAAAGCTCCGAAAGGGGAGCAGTCAACAGTTAGATCATGATCCTCATGGCATCCAGAGGGCGTTGTGTGTGCGCACACACACGATATGCTTCCCCCTAACTCTCTGTGTTCTGACTCCACAAACTAGGACACATGGTCTCTAGAGATCCAAAGGGAAAAAAACACAAGAAAAACCAACAGGTGAGACACAAACAAAAGTACAACCAGAGTCAGGGTCACAGACGCAACCACAGTCAGTTTAGAAATGTACTTCTGTACCACCATCTCCCCGGGAGTTCCTTCTAGCTCTCTGCCAGGAGGGATCACTGCAATATCCTCACCTGCTGTTTTGAGACTAACGTGTCCCTAAATTAGGACTGCATACCAGCTGGGCAGACTCCCACCCTCACTCCCTCTGATAATTCAGCCCTGGAAAGCAAGAAAGGAAGGCCAGAGGGGCTTCAAAGGCAACTGTGCCAGGATGTCTTCTTCCTGGAACTGCTTAGGAATGAATATCCCCTACCCACAGCGCACCCTCCGAGGCACCTGATAACTGACTCACAAAGCAGCCACCTTCCTAGAAAGATCAGCAAACCTAACCTATAGCCAACCGGTTACCCGCTTTGGAGCTTCAAAGTCCTACCTCCCCTCCGCGGTGGCCAGGGCAAAACATCAAGCACAGTCTGTGAGCAATGGACCTCACCTTCATTCACGTCAGGAAACCACAAGAAATATTTGAAAAAGGAAGCAAAGGGAAGGGACGCAGGAGGGGACTTCCTGCCGCACTCGACTCAGCGCTGCGGCGCAAACCACTCAAGGGGCCCTTTCCCGAAGGTACTAAAGTGCCGAGAATGGCACAGCAGAGGGCAGAGGGACCAGACTGGAGGAGATCACCGACCCGGAGCAGCCGGGCTGGGGCCAGCGGGCCATGCCCCCCGCCACAGCCCAAGCTCGGGGATGCTGCAGAAGCGTCCCCAGGGGCTCAATCAGCGACGCACGGGATCGCCGCCGGCCGCCGCCCCCACGCGGCCCCCGCTGGCTCCCCGGCGTCCCGGCCTCCCCCGCAAGCCCGTCTTCCTGCCCCTCGGCCCTCCACCCGCGCCTCCCGGACGGCGGCGGCCCCGCTCCGCCTCCCTAGCGGCGGCGCCCGCCTCCGCCCCGCCTCCCGGCGCCCCGCTCCGGGACTGCGCCCTCGGCTCCCGCTCCCCCGGCGGCCCCTCACCCGGGTGGAGCCGATGTCCATCATCACCTCCTCGAAGGCCGCCGTCTCTTCGGCCTGACGCTGCTTCTGCAGCGCGATCTTCTCGCTAAACTTGCGCGGATTGGAAGCTGAGGCCGTGGCCGAGCCGGGCCCGTTCGCGCCCGCCGTCGCCATCTTCCCCGTGCGTCCCTCCCCGCCACCCTCCCGGACAAGCCACGGCCCCGCCGCGGGCCCTGGCCCGCGCCTCCAGCAGCAGCCGCCGCCGCCGCCGCCTCGGCGAGCACCGCGAACCCGGCCCCAGCCTAGCCCGGACCTGCCGCGCGCGAGGGCCGCCGGGAACTGTAGTTTGTTTACGTAACCCTTGCGCGGCCCCAGGCGAGCAGCGCGGACAGGAAGCGGACTCCATTTCCCAGCAGCCCTGTGGCCCCGGGGCCTGGGGGCCTGGCTCCTCCCCCCCGGCTCCTCCCTGCGCGGGGCAAGCTGGGAAAAGTAGTTCTAAGTTGGTCTTGAGCCTTCGAGCGCGAAGGGGAGCGGGATGCGGGAGAGGGAAGGATTGGGGAGGAAGGGGAAGGGGTGGAGACAGGGCGGGAAGAAGGAAGGAACAAAAGAGGGAAAATTTGGGTCGTCAGGGAAGGGGACTACGGAGCCAGAATGAAAGCAGTGAGAGTAGGGATATTAAAACAGGTATAAACGTCTGGGACTCAGGCCCTCTCAGACTGGCCACGTGCCCACCCCTTGCCCAAGATAAACGAATCAGACACTGCACAAATGTATAGAAACATCTTTTATTTGGGTAACAAGTCCCAAAACAGGTCAGTTAGTAAAATAGATTCTAGAGAACATGGCTCTATCCACAGCCCTCCCTCCCCAAAAATAGCTGGGGGTGAGCCTTCCCCTTGGGCTCCTCTGGTATAAAAAAAATTTTGGCAGCTCAGTATTTCTCATCTGGGCATAGGGGCACCATTTCCATGTTCAGTACTCCTAGGGTGCAGTAGTGGTGGGGGACCGTAGCTCTGCCAACCCTCCCCTAACCTCAACTCAGCAAACATGGCTGCCTCCAAATAAAGAGCAAGCAGGGCCCCTCCGCTGAGGTGCTGGGCAGGGTTCAGTGCCATCACTGTGCTTTTTGACAAAGAGGGAAGGGATTTATTTGGCACTTTAAAAACAGAGAAGTGAGCAGGACTAGACAAGCCAGAGAAGGTACCAAAACTGGCAAGAAGAGGCCATTTGGCACTAGTCCCCTGGGAGAAGGGAAGCAGGAGACAGATGGAGTAGGGGCGAAGAGAAGGAGCCCACTCCACCCCAAGAGACAGAGGGCTGGAATGGGCTAGAACCAGGACTGCTGACTCTGGGCTGTGCCTCCTCACACCTCCATCCCACAGCAGCTGGGTGCCTGCCCCCAGCCTTCCCATTGTCAGCTCGTCCCTGTATGTAGTGTCTGACCCCGGATTCTAGCACTGTGTCTTCCCCAATATGAATCGCTGATCATGTCTTTAGTGATACGACTATCCCTTGTCCCTTGGGGCCACGATCTTGTCTACCACATCCCTCCCATTGGTCAGATAATCCCAAAGACTCCATCCCTATCTCCCAGAGAACCCTTTGATCCTTAATCCTCCCTTCTCCACTCCTTATTTTCATATGCTGGGGTGGAAAAGGAAGGTCAAGGGCACCTGGAGCTCCCTAGACTTGGATGAAGAGCAGGCCAGTGAGCAGGGCAAAGCCTGCAAGGAGCAGGATGACCTTGAGGATCCTCTGCTCAGAAGTGGCCAGCTCCTGGGGCAAGATTTCCAGGAAGGTAATATAGAGAAAGGTGCCAGCTGCCATGCCCTCCAGCACAGACTGGGCCAGCTGGTGCAGGGGCCCAGCCGACTCTGCCAGAGCTGCACCCAGCCCAATGCCCAGAGGGGTCATGCATGAGAAGAGGATCCCACAGCCAGCTACCACCTGCGCTCGCAGATGGCTCTGCAGCAGCCGAAGGGACAAGCTGACTGCCAGAATACCCTTGTGGAGCAGCAAAGCCAGGCAGAGCTCCAGGGCCCGAGCCCGGTCTCGCTGCAGCCCCACCGCCAGTCCCTCGAACACCGAGTGCAGGGCCAGGGAGAAGACCAGTACACAGGCACGCAGGGCTGAGGGGGCCGCAGGGGCTCCACCTGCCTGTGGGATCCCTGGCCCATCATGCCAGTGCTGTGGCCCACCATTTGCTGTTCCCAGCAGAGCTCTCGTCTCCTCTCGAGGTGGTGGCCCTGACTGCTCCTTGTAAGCTAGTGTGATCTGTTCCATCACCAGGACCAGGAAAAAGCCCATTGCCAAGATGAACTCTTGTAGGGGGAACTGGAGCTGTGGGCAGACAGGGCAGCAAGAAGTTCAGGAGACAGGCCAAGAATGGGGAGGAGTCAAATTCAGAGTCTCGAGGACTCCTAGTTATACAGACTTAGGGTCCCCCATAGATGCAGGGCTACTCTCAGTTACACAAAGACACACACAATCACATAGATGATAGTGTCGCTCATAGTACTACATATAGACCAGTTTCTCAACTTCGGCACTATTAACATTTTGGGTTAGATAATTCTTCATTTTGGAGGGCTGTCCTATGCTCGGTGGGATGTTTAATAGCATCCCCAGCCTGTATCCATTAGATGCCAATAGTAAGCACAAAGCCTTCCTTTCCCAATTGTGACAACCAAAAAGGTCTCCAGACACTACCAAATGCTTCCTGTGAAGGGGGTGCAAAACCACCCCCAGCTGAGAGTGACTGATGCAGACATGTAGGTGTGCACGTGTGTGAATGCACACACAAACGCACACACACACAGGATCACACATTGCCCACCTCACCAAATGCTCACACACAGAGCCACAAACTATCAGGGGTCACTGAGACTTACACAGAGTCATACAGGGCGACGGTCACTCACTCACAGAAGGTACATCCTGTGTTACTTCCCCAGTCTTAGGAAGAGGAAGAGCGCAGGGTGCCTTCCTGGCACCTCCACACAACTGTCTCAGCTTTTCCCATGAGACTTCCCTACGCCTTGTACTCGACCTTGTTCACATCCTACTTCCTTGGGTTATGGCGTTTTAGGTCAGGAACTCCAGGCCTCCCACCCTTCCCAGGCCTGGAGGGCCCTCTACTGCCAGCAAAGTGGTGTGAGAGTGAAGATGATTCTCAGAGGCTGTGACTGAGAAACTCACAGAGTAGGTCACATGCCTGTACGAGGCTCCCCTCAGTAACTCAAAAGAGTGCACAGCAGTCACAGAGGGACTGGGGGCAAAGGGCAGCACCCCAGGAAGAGTTATGCCCCATCACTAAAAGTCACAATTCATAGGGTCCCATGCTAGGCGCCTTCCACACGGTCACACGGTCACGGAGCGTGCTGGGAAGAGATGAGAATGACCGTGTCTCCCACGGGTGTGTGACTGAACACCCCCCCCACACACACACAGGGTCACATGCAGCAGCAAGGGCTCACCGTCACGTGCAGAGCTGCTAGGGCCTCATCTATGGCAGCCAGGTAGTCAGGCAGTAGGTCCAGGAGACAGGTGGCCAGAAAGACACCCCCTGCGAAGCAGCTTACTAGGCTCAAGGCTTTTTGGCGGGAGGCTGGACAGGAGTGGAGCACAGACGGGAGTGAGCAATGAACCCCCTCAAGCCTCACTGCCCCAACCCAAGCAACGGTCACTCTTGCCTTCCCGTCTTTAAGGGAAACTCCGCAGCCCCCAGAGCCCTCCCCAACCCAGCAGGGAACAGGAGAGGCTCACCTGAGGCTTCGGGGCCGGCCCTAGGCCGGCGCAGCACGCAGATGGGCACCAGACTGCAGAGAAGAGTGAGCAAGAGCAGCAGCACCAGGGCGCCCATTTTCACCTCCAGACCCACGGGCCCCGGGGGCTCCGAGGCCACCGCCTCCGGGCGCCACACCAGGAGCTCTGGCTCTCCCCAGGGCCCCATGGTGGCTGTAGCTGCTCCAACGACTTTCGGACCTAAGACAACGCGAGTGGGGCAATGGTCACTTGAAGAAGGAGCCAAGCAGAGGGGAGAGCTGGTCAGCGGACGGGAGCCCCCTCACCCTGCCGCCCCCCAACCTCCCCAGCCCCGTGTAACTCATGCACTCCCGGACTGGGAACGGTCCCCTTCCCCCGCAGACTGCACCCCTTCGGATGGCTCATTCGGGGACCCCGCGCGGGGGATCCAGCGTCAGGGCGGTGTGGATGTCTCATTACCCCTTCACCTGAAGCTCGGTCTTCCCGGGAGAGGAGAGGCCGGGCCCCCCGCAGGAAAGAGGGGACGGAGCCGAGGGGGTCGGGCTGCGCAGAGGTGTCGCGGGGAGCTTCGTGGGCCACCTGGGCAGGGGGAATTTGGGGGCGGATCACTCCCCGCTCCCGTTTCCCCAGCCGCGCGCCGGAAGCGGAGAGCGGCGCGCTGACGGCCTCCGCCAGGGCCCCCAGGCGGCGGGGTCGCGGCGGGCCGAGGCCGCCCAGCCCATACGGCCCGGGCGCACACTCACCTCGCCAGGGTCCCCCTCCGCCGCAGCCGCCGGGTTCCGTCGCGACTCCGGACCCCGCCCCGCCGCGTCCCGCCTCCCCGCCGCCGCCGGCCAATGACGGCGCCAGGAGGGCGTGGCCCTGCCAGGAGTGACGTGCTCTGGGGGCAATCAGCGGGCCGCTGGGGGCGGGGCTTCGAGGGGGCGGGTCCAGGGGCTGCGGGCCTGGGGTGCTTCGGGGCGGTAGGACTGGCCCCGCCGGCCGGAAGCTAGAACGCCCGCGGGCGAGGCGGGAGTCCGAGCCCACTCGGCATTCCCAAGTCTTCCGCTCTGCATCGCTGGGGTTTTCTTCCTGGTCGTGGGCAGCGTCTTCTTAGCCATCTCTTGGAAGACTCTAAGAGCCCTTCCGCGCACCTTGGCGCCAGAGGGAAAACATTCTCTTCTTAGGACTGACTTCTTTGCTTGACTTCCCTCTCCAACACCCGCAACAAAGGAAAAAGACAAGGCAGAATTGGAAAAGGAAAATCGCGAAGAGAGGGCATTTCTTGAAAATTGTCCCTCTTGACTACCGGTGGCCTGAGCGCATTCTGTGCAGCCTTCCGTCTTCTCTGAGAGTGTGCGGGCACTGGTGGGACCCAGCCCAGGGGTGGCCCAGACCCTGCCCGGTGGAGAGCTGCTCTCAGCGGGCTCCAACTTACCATCCTCACCATGCCTCAGGGCATCGAACAGGCTTCTCTCCAAACGCACCTGGAACTCTGCAACTCCTCTCCCCCCAGCCCTGCTGGCCTCCCTTCTCTTTTCTGTTCCTTGATTGCGCCAAAGTATTTTCCACTCAGGACCCTCATGTTTCCTTAGCCTGGATCCTTTTGACCCACACCCCCTGACCTCAGGGGAGGGGAGGGTATAAAAGAGGAAATAAAGAAGGGAGCTCGGCGTAGTCTTTTCAAAGGCGAAAAGACCTCATTGTCTCAAGAAGAGGCAGGAGTAATGTCTCTAAGGCTCTGGAAATGGAGGCCAGAAACTTCCCTAAGAGGGAATGTGAGGACTTTTTTTTTTTTTTTAAACATTTTATTTATTTATTTGACAGAGAGAGACACAGCGAGAGAGGGAACACAAGCAGGGGGAGTGGGAGAGGGAGAAGCGGGCTTCCCGCGGAGCAGGGAGCCCGATGCGGGGCTCGATCCCAGGACCCCGGGACCATGACCTGAGCCGGAGTCGGACGCCCAACGACCGAGCCCCCCAGGCGGCCTACTGTGAGGACTTTTTGAGGGAGAACCCAGGAGAAAGGAATCACACAGGGCTCTAAGATCAGGATGTAAGTGAAACGGGTTAGCGTTGTAACCATCATTTAATAATCATTATCGCGGAAAAGAAAAAAAAATGATCATTGCTGTTCCAAGCTCTTAATTCAAAGACAACAATTACTGTTAAGAGAAAACTCCGGGGCGCCTGGGTGGCTCAGTCGTTAAGCATCTGCCTTCGGCTCAGGTCATGGTCCCGGGGTCCTGGCATCAAGAGCCTCACATCCGGCTCCTGCTCAAGGGGGAGCCTGCTTCTCCCTCTGCCCCTCCCCCAGGCTTGTGCGCGCTCTCTCTCAAATAAATAAATTTTTTAAAAAATTTTTAAAAATTTAAAAAAGGAAACTCCAAATTATTTGAGAGAATATTGTGCAAGCTGCAGTTTGTGGTAAATTATGCTTTCAAGATAATTATTATTTTTTAAAGATTTATTTATTTATTTTAGAGAGAGATGGAGACAACATGAATGGGAGGGGCAGAAGGAAAGGGAGAGAGAATCTCAGGCAAACTCCATGCTGAACACAGAGCCTGTCGCAGGGCTTGATCCCAAGACCTGGAGATCATGACCCAAACCGAAACCAAGAGTTGGATGCTTAACCGACTGTGTCATCCAGGCGCCCCTTAAAATTATTGATAATTAGTAACATTAACAAGGAATCATGGACTGGGAGACAGGACACCCGGGTACTTGTCCCAGCTCTACCTTAATTTTTTTTTTTAGATTTTATTTGAGAGAGGGCGCCTGGGTGGCTCAGTCGTTAAGCGTCTGCCTTCGGCTCAGGTCATGATCCCAGGGTCCTGGGATCGAGTCCCACATTGGGCTCCCTGCTCTGCGGGAAGCCTGCTTCTCCCTCTCCCACTCCCCCTGCTTGTGTTCCTGCTCTCGCTGTCTCTCTCTCTGTCAAATAAATAAATAAAATCTTTAAAAAAAAAGATTTTATTTGAGAGGGAGAGAGTGAGCAGAGGGGCAGAGTGAGAGAATCCTGAAGCAGTCTCCCCGCTGAGGGCAGAGCCCAACTCAGAACTCAATTCCATATGAGGATGCTTAATGATCCCAGCCTCACACTGTGCCTTATGCATTAAAATCTCTGTTATTAGCAAAAAAAAAAAGAACTCAATTCCATTACCTGAGCCAAAATCAAGAGTCGGGCGCTTAACCGATGGAGCCACCCAGGCACCCCAATTTGTATTTTTAATATTAATTTTTTTTGTATTTTGTAATTTTTTTTTTAAGATTTCATGTATTTATTTGACAGAGACACAGTGAGAGAGGGAACACAAGCAGGGAGAGTGGGAGAGGGAGAAGCAGGCTTCCCGCCGAGCACAGAGCCCGATGCGGGGCTCGATCCCAGGACCCCGGGACCATGACCTGAGCCAAAGGCAGACGCTTAACGACTGAGCCACCCAGGTGCCCCAAAAATTTTTCTTAAACTAAGATCTATGCCGAACATGAGGCTTAAACTCACAACCCTGAGATCAAAAGTTGCCTGTTTCACTGACTGAGCTAGCCAGGCATCCCTCTACCTTAATTTGATGTGTGTGTGTGTGTGTGTGTGTAAGATTTTATTTATTTATTTGACAGAGAGATAGCAAGAGAGAGAGAACACAAGCAGGGAGGTGGGAGAGGGAGAAGCAGGCTTCCCACTGAGCAGGGAGCCCGATGCAGGGGCTCGATCCTAGGACCCCGGGATCATGACCTGAGCCGAAGGCAGATGCTTAACGACTGAGCCACCCAGGCGCCCCTGATGTGTGATCTTAAGCAAGTCATCTTTCCTCTCAGGAACTTGATAAAGCAGGTGAAAGAGGGAAGTCAGATTAGAAGATGATGCCAGAGGTTCCTTCCAGTTCTAATTAATGGAAGCTGATTATATTTTCCTCGTAATCATCTTTGCACATGCAACCTGCAGGAAGCCCTCTGAAACCTTTCTTGCTCTAGGAAAGATCTAGGCAAGGACAGCTCTTCTTTCCTTAGAGCTCTGCATCGATCTAGGGAGCCTGCTTTGTCTCCTCACTACTTGAGCAGGAATGCAGGAAGATGAGCAGGAAATCTGAGAAAGCCCCAGCAAGATAGCTTAGTATAGTGCAGAGAATGTAGGCTCAGGCATCCAAACCCTGGTTCTACTTACAGAGTAACTTTGAGAAAGTTACTTCTCTTTTCCAGCTATGACTTGCTATGAGAATTATATGAGTGATGTGAAAATGCCTGAGCATCTGATAGTTACTCAATAAATATTAAATACTGTTCCTGTCTTTACCCTCAGCACATACAATTTTCATGAGGAGAATACCAGTTTGAGGGGCGTCTGGGTGGCTCAGCCGTTAGGCGTCTGCCTTCAGCTCAGGTCATGATCCCGGGGTCCTGGGATCGAGCCCCGCATCGGGCTCCCTGCTCCGCGGGAAGCCTGCTTCTCCCTCTCCCACTCCCCCCTGCTTGTGTTCCCTCTCTCGCTGTCTCTCTGTGTCAAATAAAATCTTAAAAAAAGAAAGGGAAGGAAGGAAGAAAGGAAGGAAGGAAGGAAGGAAGGAAATACCAGTTTGAATTCTCGATCCACACCCCAAACTTTCCTGCTTTTATTCACAGAGGGTAGCTCCATTACTGTATTTGAAATGAATTCCTGGCTCATCAGTCACTAGGCCAAGGCAAACAATCACGTGTTGGTATTATTACCCTCTAATCACGATCTCTGTCTCTTCATCGGTAAAGTTGGTAAAATATCACCTGCCCTGCCTACTTCAGAGATTAAATGACAGAACAATGTTTATGAAGACATTTGGTGAACTATATAAACGCAGGACACATACTACTGTTGGCAATTACACCCAAACAACAAGACAAATTCCCACACCAAACCTCAATGCCTTTTTAACCTTCCAGTTTCCCTCGCGCCCCGCCCCCCTCCCGCCGGTTAGCGGAGTCCCGGGAGCGCGGACATAGCAGCCAACGCTCTGATGCAGATTGGCGCGACCTTCCGCGCTCAGAGCTCTAGCTGGGCCCCCAGGTTAGTCACCCTCGCCTGCGTCCTAACCGGGGCCGGCAGTCACGCGGCAAGCGGAAGCAGAGGCGGCCGCTCCTCTACCCCCGCCCCGCACACCCCGCCCCGCGTCCTCGGAGCTTCCCAGCTTCCCCGCACCTGCCCCCCCCAACCCCGGGCTCGCAGCCGCAGGGCCTCGAAATCCTCCGGGCGGCCACCGCGGTAGCCCGCCTCCCTCGGCAGCCCCCCGGCCAGTCAGCGCGCAGCGTGACTCGAGGTGGCACTCCCATTGGCTCCATGTCCTGCCCCTCAAACCTCTTGCGTCGGGGCGCCTGGGCGGCTCAGTCATTAAGCGACTGCCTTCGGCTCAGGTCACGATCCCGGGGTCCAGGGATCGAGCCCCGCATCGGGCTCCCTGCTCGGCGGGAAGCCTGCTTCTCCCGCTCCCACTCCCCCTGCTTGTGTTCCTGCTCTCGCTGTGTCTGTCAAATAAATAAATAAAATCTTAAAAAAAACAAAAAACAACCTCTTGCGTCCAATCAGACCCAAGAGTGGAAAGAGCGCCGCGGGGCTAGGGAAGGGATGCCTCCCGCGTCTCCGGGGCCGGGTCGCCGCTTTCTGGTTTTGTTTTCCAGCCTGTCGTGCGCTCGTCTGACACAGGTGACGGGAGGAGAAAAGGCACTTCGTGTGCGCCGGTCACAGCCATCGCCGTCCTTCCCTGAAGAGCCCCCAAACTCTCAGGAAGATTTGCTGTCGCTAGGAGAAACAGGCAGAGAGGGCGAGGCTGCCTGGGCCTTCCTGAAGTCCCGTTTGCGGACGCCTAGGCTCCCAACCCCCAGCTCGCAGGTGCAGGCCCCCGCCGTGGCTCCCGGCCAGGGGCAACCCACTTTGCACTCCGGGTGTCAGGCTGGGGGCGGGGCTTGGCTGGGCCGGTCCAGGATGCGAGATCCTGGAAGGAAGAAGAGCGGCGGCGTTCCGGGCTTGGGCGGGCTGGGCTCTTCGGAAGAGGCAAGGAAGCGGTGGGCCCGTCGGTCTGAAGCAGAGATAAGGCCGGAGGCGAGATCCCCGGGTGGCAGGTGAGGAAGGGTTCCCCCGGCAGCTGTGTGGGGAGAGTGCTCTGACCCTCCTGCAGCTCTCCCCGCAGAATGGACTTCCGAACCCCCGACCTGCTGGACGTGTGGCTGGAGCCCCCAGAAGAGGTCTCAACAGGAGCCTTCCTGGAGCTGGGACTCCACTGCCCCCCTCGAGAGGTCCCAGGGATTAAGCTCCAAGAACAGGGTCTTCGAAGCTGGGAGCCCAGCGGGAGCCGTGGCTGTGTGAGTGTGGGGAACACAGGAGAGGGTGGGCCGAGCCAAGCCCCTAGGGTGGACATGAGCTGTAACTACCCCCATGTCCAAGGACACAAAGGACTGAAATTGAATTGGGACGGATCTGGGTCTGATGTCAGGTAGCTCTCCAGAACGCTTCTCTGCACACATATACACTCTCTTGCACTGTAGGACCTTCAAGAGAGTGAGCCTGAAGATTTCCTGAAGCTTTTCATTGATCCCAATGAAGTGTACTGCTCAGAAGCATCTCCTGGTAGTGACCCTGGAATCTCCGAGGACCCTGGCCATCCGGACAGTCCTCCTGCCCCCAAAGCACCCAATTCCCCTGCTCTCTGTGAGATTGTCTATGAGGCAGGGGGCCTGGAGAGGATGCAAGGGGAAGCTGGGCCAGCTGTAGGGCTCCTCTCTCTCCAGCTAGGTGTGTTCTTTGTGGGAAGGGGACAATGGCCTTTCAGGTCCAGCCCTGGTCCTGGGGTTAAGGGGTTTTCCCAACCTGTGCCTCTCCTCAGGCCCTGCTGCCATTAGGGTATACCCTTCATCTCCTTTCTCCTAGCTACCTGTGTCTCCCTCAGATCAGCGAAGCCCACCACTTATGGTGCCTGATGCCTGCACGGTCCTCGAGCTGCCCCTTGATGCTCACCCTCACACCCTGCCCAGAGCGGGCACTGTAAACCCAGTGCCTCCTGTGACCCTGGTGAGTCTTCAGTCAGCCAGATCCAGTACCCCTGGATACAACGATATGTACCCACACAGATGGGGAAAGGGGGTGAGGGAGGGGGGTAACTGATGCTAAACTCTTTGCCCCAATTTTTGTGGGCCTGAAGATCAGAGAGGCACGAGCAACTAAGAGCGGGAAAGGACAAGGGAGACAGAAGCCCTTGGAGGTAAGTTGGTGATAATTAAGGAGAAGGTGGGATGAGCCAGTCTGGGGAAAGGGCCTGGGAGAAAGCCCAGAACTTGTGTACAGTTTACTCAGCCACGGGTCAGGACACAGAGTGGGATGGGCTGCCTGGGAACTCAGCCTGCTAGGAGGCACAAGGTGTAGAAGCTTCTGCTGGAGCAACTGTGCAGCTGCGCCCACTGCCCAGGGGGTCACACACTGGGTGCCTTCAGAAGGCTGGGTGCACTGCTTTCAGCGGGGAGGGGGGGTGGTGAGGAGTCTTGCTCAGGTCACTGTTGACCAACAGTCACTAGAAAGAACTGCTTGTGTGCAAAACATAGGGAACAGGTTCTAGCCTTCCTGCCAGTCTGTGGTTGAAGCTGGGACCGGAGTCCAAGCCAAGCAGCTCAGGATTGAGGGACCTTAAGAAGTCTGACGCTTCTAGGCTTGTGTTCACATCAAAATACTGGGGAGTTTGTGGTTTCAGGGGAGCAAGAAGGGATCATCAGGAAAAGGCAAGAAGACAAGAAATGGTTTGGCTAAAAGCCAAAGACCATTAGGAGTCAATACCAGAAACAAATTCCTTTGAAGTCAAAGTGAAGCATAAATATTTCAAAAAGGAGTAGCAGAAAGGCAGGTTACTCGGTTGATAGGCTCAGGTTCATCAGATGTCATCTACCTGCCCCACATACTGTGTTACGAGAAGCTGCTAAATCTCGTGGCTCTTGGGAGTTCTTTGAGAGGATACAGAACTTCAGTCTTGAAAGTGGGGCTCAAACCCTGAGGGAAAAGTGGTCACTACCCCAGGGAGCTCCCTGAGGTTGACCCTGATGAGACAACACACTCTGCCAAATGGAAATTAGTGGTCAAACGTGAAGGATTTGCTTGCTGTGAGATTAAGCAAACCCCGCCTTAGTGAGTTCCTCCCTGTCTTAAAAAACCCTTAAGGTCTGGGGAGGTGTAGACCAGAACAAGCCCTCCCTAGTTTGCTCAGAGTGCCAAGGTCCTAAGTCTGGGGGCAAAGGATGTAACACAAGCCCTCTTTTCTCCCTTCATAGCCCCAGGAGGCCCCTTTGGCTTGGTCCAGAGCCTGTCTGAATGAAGGTCCCTTCCCTCACCTCATTTTCATGGTTACGTATTCCTTAGTGCAAATGGGAAACTCTCTCCCGAAGGCATGCAGGGGGAGTGGCCTTGGGTGATGGGAAAGGGAAGACCCCCTCCCCTTCTCATTGATCTCTGTTCTCCACCAGCTGCCCTGTCAAACCTTGTTCCTGACAGAGGAGGAGAAGCGTCTGCTGGGACAGGAAGGGGTTTCCCTGCCCACTCACCTGCCTCTCACCAAGGTAACATGCTTCCCCAAAGGGCATCCCAACCCTAACCCAGTGGCCCCATCATGGCCTCTGAAGAGCCAGGATTACAGGGGCAAGTGGGGAATTGAGGGAGGTTAAGGGCCCAGGACTGACACACCCTGGGCCCCTAGGCAGAGGAGAGGGTCCTCAAGAAGGTCAGGAGGAAGATCCGTAACAAGCAGTCAGCTCAGGACAGTCGACGACGGAAGAAAGAGTACATCGACGGGCTAGAGAGCAGGTATGTCTGGACTTACATGTCTGGCCCCTTGCGGGCCACGTCTGGGCCTCCTTCCTTACCAAGGCAGTGTCGGGGACCACCTGATTGCAGACGGTCCTACCTTTCCACACTCCCTAGAGCGGCTGCCTGTTCTGCACAGAACCAGGAACTACAGAAAAAAGTCCAGGAGCTGGAGAGGTACAATATGTAAGTGAAAGCATAGTGTGCACCCCCGGGGGGAAGGGTGAGTGGCACACAGGGGCACGAGCTCCCAGGAAAGCTGACTCTTCACTCCTCCTTCCCCAGCTCCCTGGTAACTCAGCTCCGCCAGCTGCAGATGCTCATTGCCCAAACCTCCAACAAAGCTGCCCAGACCAGCACTTGTGTTCTGGTACTCTCTACTTCCCATCTCCCCCCACTCCCAACCATACCCACCTTCCCATCCCTGATGATTCCAACTGCCCTCTGTTCATGTTGCCCTTGGGTCTCTTCCTTTAGTGTCCCCACAGTCCAAGTGTCCTTTTGCTTTCTCCAGATCCTTCTTTTTTCTCTGGCTCTCATCGTCCTGCCCAGTGTCAGCCCCTTGCAGGGTCTCCGGGAAGCTGGGACTGAGGATCACCAGCCTCATGGAGGTGAGGTAGGGGCAGGGTGGGGTTTTCCAGGGTAGTCAAGAGGTGGGAGGGAGGTCCTGTCCTGTCTAGGATCTCCCTACCCAAGGGAGCACTCCGTTACTGCCCTTTTTCTTTCACCCCACAGTGATTTCCAGAAATATCCTGACTCACAAGGACATGACAGAAAATTTGGAGACCACAGTGGTAGAGTCCAGATTGGAGGGGCCACCTAGGGCCAAGGGTGTAAATGGCTCAACAAGGACCCTGCTGGAGAAGATGGGAGGGAAGACAGGCCCCAGTGGGCATGTCAGAACTGGCCTGCATGCAGATGAGATGTGAGCTGGAACATTTCCCAGCCCACTTCCCAGCTGCAATAAGGAATCCAGGATTCCCCCATGGCTCTGGTTCCCCCTGGGATTCCCATTCAGAGTTCTTTGGCCTCAGGGGTCTGAATCATTTCAAGACCCCCTAAGCGTCTGTACCCCAAGACCCAGGCTATGTGAGGAGGCATTTCAGATACTTTTGTTACACATCTGCAATTTTATTTTTTCTTTGGGGTTAGGGTTGGGGAAAACAGAGGTTTTGGCTGACAAATAAACTTTTTTGCTGAAATTGTATCCTGAAAATTTTAAGTAAGTACCAGGAAAAGAGGAAGGTAGGTAGTTGGTAAACTGGGGCCTAAGGTTGCTATTCCATTTCTGCCACCAAAACTTCCTGTACCAAACCAAATTATAATAGAGGAGAAAACTATTCTATACTTTGCTCGTTAATGATCTAGACAAGAGACAGAGAAAGAGGTGCCACCACAAGTTCCCAAGAATGAAGGGCACAAGTCCATTCATTCTACTGTCTGTGTTCGAGGTACAATCCCTAAGACCCCTATCAAAGAGTGGAAGGTAGCTATATGGACTCGATTTGCTTCCGGACCTTTTCCAGAGCTTTTCTGTCCAGCTGTCGCTGACGAACGATGACAAGGCAAGCGAAGACCAAGGCCACACCCACAATGGCCCCTTCAAATTTCCAGAATAAGTGTTGTTCCATCAGAGCTGAGCGGCAGCTAAGAGCAGGAAGAAACAGTTATTCCCAGGGAAGGCTGGACCACCTCTCCCTCCAATCTCCCTTCTAGTGAAGCCTAACCAAGATACATCTGAGGGGAAAGGAGGAAAACCCACAGTCAGCCTTCTAACGTTTCCCCTACACAAATCCCACTCAAATATATGGTTCAACTTATTTTCCAGTGAGGTAAACAAAACTGGTATTAACCAATTCTACTGATGAGAAAAGACCAATGATATAGTGCTGAGAAGTAGAGCTGGAACTTAGGTTCAAATACTTTGATTCCCCCCCTCTTCCTATATACCACACTACCTCCAGACAGAAAAATGTGAGGCTATTAATCTGCCGAAAATCACAAGAACAGAAGAGGTGATCTAGGAGGTTTCAAGATGAGAAACAACACTTGCCTTTTGAATTCACTCCTTTTAGATGAGCTGCATGTGATTTTCTCCACATACCCTGTGGAACCACATTCAGGGGTGGTTTTCTGTCAGGAGAAAAGGACCAAAGCACATGTCAGGTAAGGGCGGCGGAAGCAGAAAGAATGCCATTCAGAAGGGGCAGGTGTCCAATTGCTATGACTCAGCGCTGGTGGGCAACAGAGAACCAACAAAGAGTTCTAATGGGAATGGTGGATAATAAACATATTAGAACACTTTAGAGGGGCGCCTGGGCGGCTC